CGCCTTCTCCCAAGCTCTAAAAATGTGGTTTCAGTGTTTAGAAACGAACTGAAGTTTCAGACACAGAGTATTTTGCCATGACAAAATTGTGCTCTTAAGATGCACAAGCCTGAAGCTTGAAGAGCTGAACGCAGTCTGATATGTTGTCATATTGACATCAAAATTCAACCCTAAGGTACATCGAAGCTGTCACTTGATCTTCACTAGTGGGACGTTGCTCACTGATCAACAGCGCATCAGAAATCACAATCTTGGGACTCTGAAATTTGACCTCCTGCTTCTTCATCATCTGATCTAGCCCGTGAATACCTTAGAACGGTAGCCCATGACTAATATCATGGCACGGCCAGATGGTAACCCCTACTTCTTTGCACAGCACCAACATAGTCCAGGTTTTGATCCAGAATCACGGCAACATCAATCTAGTCCACGAGAATGGTACTCCAGCAACCTCCAGACTCACAGTCCTGTTTCTGTAGGGGCCCGAGATGAAATCTGCAACGTCTATGCTAGTAGCTCACAAAATCCTGCAGATTCCACGCAGTCCTGGGCCAAAGCTCTTCTTCTGGACTGTGCAAGAGCTATAGCTGAGAAAGACACTTCGCGCGTTCAAAGCATTATGTGGATTTTGAACGAGAGTGCATCTCCATACGGAGATTCCGACCAAAGACTTATGTCATATTTCGTCCAAGCACTTGTCTGCAAGATCACAGACACGGGCTCTCGATGCCACCGAAGTCTAACTTCCGCCGCCGAAAAGACGTATTCCTTTGAATCGATGCGAAATATGATCCTTAACTTTCAGGTAAGACGACATGTGTATCTTGGTTGTTGGTTATTTTGAGTCCTATTTGAACCGCTAGCTAGTACTAATTCTAGATAATAACATCGATCGATATATCTTCTGACGCGATGCACATCACAAGCAGAATGCGAGCCCCTGGACAACTTTTGGGCATGTTGCTGCAAACGGAGCTCTTCTGGAGACGATGGAAGGGGAGTCCAAGATACATATCATTGACATCAGCAGTACATTGTGTACGCAATGGCCAACCTTTCTGGAAGCTCTAGCAACGCGGACGGATATAACCCCTCACCTCCGCCTCACATGCATCGTGATATCACCCGAAGAAGCAGCGTTGAGGGTGATGAAACAAGTCATGAACAGAATAGACAGGTTTGCCAGACTGATGGGAGTGCCGTTCGAGAGCACGGTGATCCATAAACCTCACTTGGAAACGTTGGATCTGGATGAGCTGAACTTGCGGGAAGGTGAAGCTCTCGCTGTGAATTGCGTTCAGACTCTACACCACATCTCCGAGTGTGTAGCAGCCGAGGAGCAGTACAGTCCTCGAGACCGAATTCTGTCCACTTTCCGGAGTGCCAAACCCAAGGTATCACGGCTTAAGGCAATCACTTAAAATGCGAATCCTGTCAAGCCTTCATTCAATTAATTAGTATCCAATTAGTCAATGATGCTCTGATCAATTCAATAATGTCATTGCATTACGTGCACGGTTATTAATTCCTAATGCATATTTCGTCCATGATCTCGTGTAGATTCTGTCGATCGTGGAGGATGAAGCTAACATGATCTCACCAGACTTCCTTGGTTGCTTCCGGGAGGCCCTTAGATTTTACTCGCTCTTATTTGAATCTTTGGAGGAGAGCTTTCCCCGAGCCAGCAACGAGCGTCTCATGCTTGAGCGAAATTGCGCCCGCAAGCTGGTGAATATGCTAAGTTTTGACGCCACGGAGAGTACAGAAAGACAAGAGAAAGGGATTCATTGGGATTACCGACTACGAAAAGTGGGCTTTGAGCCCGTGTCATTCAGTCACGACGTGGTGGATGACGTTCAAGCTCTACTCAAGAGGTAAAGCCCCGAGTTCTATTATCATATAATATGCACATGCCAACAATCCCCTTGAACGCAGTATAATGATTGATACAACTATTACTGTAACGGAAGTCGCCACGCTACTGTTGTTCCCATCACGGCACAACATTTGCCAATAATTTAATCCAGGTAGACGACTGATTGCAGTTGACGGTATTGCAGATACAAGAAGGGGTGGGGTCTTGACATCACCGATGCCAGGCTTTACCTTACCTGGAAGGAACAAGCAGTTATTTGCAGCACCACATGGAAGCTCATCACAACCCCGTCATATTGAATCATCCAGATCTCTCAACCTTTAAAAAGTATCATAAAATAGATTTTATGCTTAGCTTTCCAGACATGGAAGCACCACCAGTAAGCCATCCAAGTCAAGGGTCCAGATTCGGATGTTCACTGCTTGTGCTTCCATCACTCATTTAAAAAATTTCACGCAGCGTCGAGGATCGATAATCTAGCGTAGGCCATTTCCAGGAGACCGTCACTGGCAGCTTATTAATGGTGTCCCATAGAACTCACATGCATTCATTTAGGACCTTGATGAACTCATTTACCTCGACTGTAAACACCTTGTCATTGAAATCAAATTTGATCTGTTTTCAGAGTGGTGTTTGGTTAAGTACTTGCCGAACATTGAGAGCCTGGAGATTATTGCTCTATGCATGATTGAATGCAATTAAGCATCATATTCAACCATCTTTAGAGGCCCTGTCAGGGATAGATTTCGGAGGATTAGGCACCGCAGTCGCTCATGAAATCACGTCGTTTAACACATCTGGACACACGTGAGCTCATGAAACTGCGACTTAATACCCATTTGGTGAATTATGTCCACTGGACCCCACATTTTTTTAATGCAGAAACTCATGAAGATCTCCGCTTGTTGCAGACTTGGCGACAAGACTGTTTATTGATCCCGAGTGGTTTAAATGCATTTAAAGTATTAGTCTAGAGCCTAAAGTTTGTGTTCAAGCGTTGCAGTCCTCCGGGGAAAGAATGTTTGTCATTTCCTCCTATTTCTTGCTTGTGTAATAATAAGATGCTTTGACAAAGTGTTGTAATATGGTGATTTAATGTTGTTTAAAACCATGCAAAAATCCGTGGTTGTAAAATGTCTTTTCGTGTGAATTTCCGCAGATTCGATTTTGTGTAACTTTCTGTTTTGTGAGCACGTAAAAACAGTTATTTAAGTTTCAATTTGCTAATTTATTCTTTGTTTAAAGTTTGGACTTGAGCTTCATGGCAATGATATGTAGCATTGGTTAGATTATGTTTTCAAGCATTTAAGTGTTTTAATTTCGGAATACTGAAGATTTGTAGGTTACATATAATTTTTTCATGATTTGATATTATGAATCTTAAAAACGAGCAAGCTTTGTCAAAGTGCTGTATTTGATGTTGGCTAATGTTCATTATTTTTTAAGAAAATACATTTAAAAAAATTAACTTGAGACACGTATATTTAATATATGAAAGTCTGATAGAACAAAATTTGATTTATCATACGAATGAATAAAATGCAACTTGAAATATTTTGTAATTTTTAATATTTTTGCATATGTATGTTTATATATATATATATATATATATATATATCCATATATTTACATATACATGATATGGAATAGAATACTGTTGACTATATATAATTTGGTATATATGATATAGTATAAAAGATATTATTTGATTAATTGACCATCAAGAGCATCTACATTAATGCATTTGATTCTTAAGTAAGATGTTAAATAATTGATTGGTGGAATCCAATGTTCTAATCTCTTTGATTCTACTTATAATTCTTGATAAAAAAATAAAAACATGTGAAAATTTTATGTTTATAAAAACATCATTTTTTGAAATGTCAGTCAATCTATAATTTTTGGATAGAAAAAATTACAAAAAATAAATTAAAAATAAATTAAAAGAATTATATACATACATATATACATACATACATATACATACATACATACATATATACTTAGAGTAAATTGTTTGGTTTTTTCGTAGATAATTGATAATGGACATTGTTTAATACATTTAAATCATAATAGTATAAAGGTTTTATAATGTTATCATAAACATTGTAATAATTATGATATAATAATACAGATTTCAAGAAAAAATCTTATAAAATCAGAAAAAACTAAAAAAAAAATTAATATATATTCATGACATTTTTACATAATTATTTAAAAAAATAATTACTAAAAATTATATAAAATATAAAATATAATAAATTAATAAAATTTTAATACTAATTAAATTAAAATAATAATCAATAAAAATATTATATCAAATATGAATAAATAAGAGATGATATTCTAAAATTAATTATAGAATTAATACTAAATAGTCTCAAATATTTTTAATTTATTTTTATTTTTGATAAAATTAATATATTTATCAATAAAATATGGCAATGGAAAATTTAATCGATGAATTATGTTTGAATTTTAAAAAATTATGTGTAATTATTATAAATTAATCTACTTATGTAGTTAATACTTTTACTATTTAAATGTATTAATTTATTTAAGTTCTTATATTGTTAGATTTAAAATATTATATATATATATATATATATATATATATATATATATATATATATATATATATATATATATATATATAATGAGAAATTTTGACGTTTTTATATTACAGTTAATATATTATTATTATTTTAAAAAATAATCAATTTTTAAAAGTTTTATAAATTCAAAATTTAATTAATATTAAATAAAAAAATTAGAATTTCATAGAAGAATTTCGTATTGATTTTAAATAATCATGAAATGCTATTAAGTTAATATAAAATTAAAACAGTGCCTAAATTCTCAAACCACATTATATTATGGCCATAAATTATACTTGAAATTTTATACTTTATATATAAAAATATAATAGTGACTTTGAAATATTTGAAATGTCATAACGTAAGTTTGGCTTCCCAGATGATTTTCCTAGGTTGCATTCTATTAAATTGTAGTCATTGTTACAAGGTTCTATTTTTTGAAGCACATTCTTTAACTTCAATAAATGTTTCCAACTTTTAAAAAAAATATTAACCAAAATTATATATATATATATATATATATATATATATATATATATATATATATATATATAGTTTAGAATTACATAAACATACACCCTAAAAGTTCATTACTATATACTTACTATAATTACCATATACATTTACTTTAAAATTTTATTACCATATAATGACATAAAAATATTTATTTAAAGTTTATATCGACAAAGGTACATTATGTGCTATAAAAGAATATGAGTTTTAAATTTTACATTTACTTTACCAAAATATACAGATGTTACTATGATTGTATATCTAATTTTAACAATATATAATTGTTAATAATTAATTTTTAATTAACATGATGAAAAATGGTAAAAATTTATACTTGTGTAAAATTTTTATTAAAAATATTGAATTTAAAATTTGATTCTAAAAATTATAAAAAAATGGTAAATTTTAACATAATATATGTAATGAATAATTTCGCAAAATAAGAAGATAAGATGGTTAAATTAATAAATTTTTATATAATATAAATAATCTATCACAATATAAAATTTAAAATCTGATGAATATTTTATACTTGTCGTAAAATATATATATATATATCACAAAGATACTTTAAAAAAATTATTGTGTATTATTAAGTATTATAAATTTTATCAAAGATGTACCTTAGATGTTAATAGAAGATATATTTCTTCAATATATATATATATATATATATATATTTATTACTTCTTTATGGTCTTATAAAAAAAATCTAGTATCTAAAAATAATTTTTTTTTTTGTAATTTCATAAAAAGTCTCAAGAGAATCATGTCTAAAGTTGATTTGACATATAAGTATTGTAATTCGACAAATAAATATAAATTTGAAATAGAATTATATTCGACATATTAATATTAAAATAAAATAAACACTAATTTTATTTTAAAAAAATAACTTATAAAGATTACTTTTTAAAATAAATCTCATACCAATAGTTCATTGAAAAAATTGTTGATCAATTTATAACATAATAACATGTCTACATTGCAACGTAACTATTTGCTAGATACAATAAGTTCCATAAGAAATTTTATAATGAATGGCATTATGACAACTTTCTAATTTATTGTACACGTTATGAGAAATTTTTATATATTCATGCAAAAATAGAATCCAAATATTTGTTAAAACTATAATAAACTATGTTAAAATTAATTTCAATAGACAAATGTATATGTATATATATATAGAAAAAATAAATTAATTTAATATATATATATATATATTGAAATCAAAATTAATTAAAAATTTTCATAATTTTTAAAAAATAACATCAGTTACTTTTAAAGTACTATTTCTAATTAATTACTTAGTCTTAAAGTTTTTTATGTCATTTAATATCAATTTTTAAAATTTTAGTTTTAAATATTATTACAAAGATGTAAAATAAAATAAAATAAATATAATATAATTAAAATATTTTAAAATTATAAATATAGAAATTGAATATAAGCTTATATATATATATATATATATATATATATATATGTTTATATTCAGATATACTTAAATAAAATTATTATAAAGACCTTATCTTATTTTAAAATAATTCTATTACATGTCAATAATATTTTATTTAGTTTTCATTAGTTTTTAATAATTTTTAATTTTTCGGTTTATCTAATATTTAATTTATTCAATTCATTTAACATAATACAAAATTTTATCTTTTGTTATAAACTATCATTCAAATTTAATTTCTTTTGTTTATGCTTTAAAAATAAATAAAAGACCGAATTATTTCTAAAAAAAAAATAAAAAGATTAAATATTTTTATAAAATTATGTATAATATGTATAATTATTTATAATACATCTTTTATAGTAATCATGTCCCTTCTTCTATACCATAGAAGAAGGGACATGATTTGGTGCAAATGTTGAAGCAACTCCAATCATTTCTATATCTTCACTTTCTGCCAAGTTTGTTGCTCCTTATGGTGGTAAATTGAGTTGATGCATCACAAGCATTAACTCCCTCAATTGTTCTTGCATTTATACCATTGAACTCTTCATTTCAATAAGTTTTGTCATGATAACACTTAGAAAAAAAGATGTCTAATATTGCTCAAGATAAATAGAAGAGAAGACTTGAGAACAAAGAAAATACTAAGCACAATATCAATTTAGAAGAGGGTAATCCGCAACTTCTAATACACTTATGTCTTATCAAGAGAAAGGGGTAATCCACTCTTAATCAAGATTAGACAAAGCTCTAATATTATAAGTATACTCTTATCAATCTATCTTTTACTTACTTCTATCTATTTATACATGTAATTACTAGCTTATATGCGTATGTCGGTGATATCTATTGCAAATAAAAGATGCAAATTAGGATACAATTGTTATTTATCTAAGATATTAATTATATTATAAATTTTTTCTATTGATTTATTTATTTTTATGATATGTAAGTAATATTGGCATGCATATTGGCTGATGTATTATCAAAGCACTACCATATAAATTTTTAGATTGACTTGCTACAAAGATATAAAAGTAAACAATTGC